CGGGCAGGAAGGAGGGGCCTTCAGTAGGCTTTTGGAAGGCAGGGGTGAGGGAAGAGGGCGGAGTGTTGCTGGAGGGTGGGTGGGCCTCTGGGTGCCACTTCCAGGGGGCTATGCAGGATGGGGCTGAGGGAGCAGGTAGTCCCCCACCTGAGCCCCGTCTTTGTGTCTACCTTCACCGGCGCGGTTCCCATAGAGTGGACCAGCTGCCTGCACCATCTGCCAGCCGACACCATGCCAGCACCAAAGGCTGCCCTGGGCGGGGGAGCCCGTGTGCACCCCTCCCTTGGCAGCCAGATTGGGCAGTGGTGCTGCCATGTGGATGAAGACTGGGTTTGAGGCAGTGCATGCGTGTGTGAAATGGAAGTAATTTACCTGCCCCAGAGGGCACTCTCATGCATGCAGAGCCCCGAAGATAACTCCCTCTTCAATATTTGTGCCCGGGACACTTCTCTGGCCTCACCCTCGTCTTGGCCCTGCTGGGAGTAGTTAGAGGGAATGGAACCTTCGATGGACCAGGGGCATGGTGCTCACAGTTGCAAGGGGGAAAACTGAGGAGAGGGGAAAAAGAAGGAGCCTATGAGATAGCTCGTGGGAGACTGGGTGGGAGACACCTGAGGCTTTGGTAGGGTCTGCTTTTGAGGCAAAGTCATAACTTCCCAGAGAGTCAAAGGAAGGCTGCACAATAAAGAAACAAAGCCACAACTGTGTTGTGTTGAGGTAGAGAGCCGGAGGCTGGAAACTCATTTTTTCATTCACTCATTTACCCAGCATTTGTTGGATTCCCATCTTGTGCACACTAATGTACTGAGGGAACGTTTATTGAACACCTAGCATGTGTAAGCCCCATGAGATCAGGAGCACATGCAGATGATGACAGTGATCACGCTCCTGACCATGAAAGGAACAGTCAGTATTCATCTGTACGTCACATGGGAGAGAATTCCAGAAACAAGTACAACATAGGCTCTTCACTCACAGAGAGTGGTGTGTGCTGAGTGAGCAGCCTTAGTGATGCTCCAGGTCTTCCGGCCGTGTAGACGGAGATATGATATGGGAAAGCCTGGGTCTTTCCCGTGCTGTGCACCTTGTCTGTACTTAACCGTCATCACAGTTGATACAAAGGTGAAGGACACAGAACTGTTTAGTGGATGCTTATTTAAATAAAAAGGTAGGAGATGTATTTCCTAGCCAAATTAAAAATAACAAACCTGGAACTGAAAGAAATTCCAGTATGTGCAACCTGCCTGGTTCAGGAAAAGGCCATGCTCCATTTTTATTGTTTGTATCTAAATGGTATAGCCACATATAAGACAAAGATGGGGTGTCTAATGATATCTTACAAAGAACCTGTCCAATGAACGGATCAGACCACAGTGCAGGCTGGTGCTCAAGTCCCTGACTACCCAAGAGGGCCACCAGAGGGCAGTCTTGAGGCTGCTGGCTGTCCTCTTACTCTCTACCTTAAGGGGGCAGCTCCAGGCTGCCTCTCCACCCTCATCCCAGCTAAGAAGTTCTTTCTTTTCTTCTTACTCTGTAAGTGTTATGACCCCACAGAGTACAGGTCCCTAGATGAGGCACAGACAACTCACCTCTGCTGGATATGTGTCTGCATTTAGCTCTGACCTGGGGAGAAAAATAAGGTTTCATAGCTCAGAGCCTTGATAAAGTGTGGAGGCATCTTGTGTGCATTCCTGTGGGGAGCAGCACAGTGGCAGGCTGGGCAATGTTGCATCCTTTTTCTGTGTCTGCAGGGTCTGTCCCTGGAGAACTGTTAGGGTCCCATCCTCCCTTGGCAGTGGCCCTTCCTCCCCTGCCCACTAGCATCCTCTAGGAACAGAAGTAGCTGCCTGTTCTGAGGACTGGAGATGGGATTTGGGGCTGGATGTGCTGATATCAGGCAAACCAGAGAGAGTCTGGGCTGAAGAGTGTGGGTTTCGGGCTTCCCTGGTGGCACAGTGGTTGAGAGTCTGCCTGCCGATGCAGGGGACACAGGTTCATGCCCCGGTCCGGGAAGACCCCACATGCCGCGGAGCGGCTGGGCCTGTGAGCCATGGCCGCTGAGCCTGCGCGTCCGGAGCCTGTGCTCCACAACGGGAGAGGCCACAACAGTGAGAGGCCCCCTTACCACAAAAAAAAAAAAAAAAAAAAAAAAAAAGAGTGTGGGTTTCCTTTGAAAACTCTGTTTTCTCTATGTTCTTTTGGAAATTCTCTTTTCCTTTAATTTTCTTAGTAATTGTTCATTTTGGAAAATCCCAGCTCATTCTTTTATAAATTAAGGGTCTGAGGAGAGAGCAAAGTGTCTGAGAGACCAGGCCAGTGTTGTGTGAGTGAGAGTGTGTGTGTATGTGTGTGTGTGTGTAAGATAGGACTTCTCACCTACCTGTGTTGAAGGACCTGTTTTTCTTTTTTATTTCCAATCCGTTGTGGAGCTATACTTTGTAAAATATAATAAAAACACATTACCAAAAAACAAATAAAAAATTAAAAGAGAAGTACCAAATATGAGCCCTAATTTTTATGATTATATTAAACAAACATAAAATTACTCTGTCAGATGGCTATAAAAGTTCCTAAAATTTTGCTTGCAATTGTTCTATTATCTTGCCTGGACTGGTAAATCCAATTCACAGACAGCCCCCAGTCCATGGACCAGGCGTTGAGTGTCTAGGGTGTAGGGCAGGGAGGAGGGAGGTATGAAAGCTCAGGAAGCAGGTGGTCTGTGGGGACGACTGGAGATGTTTTTACTTTTTAGAAGGGGGTGACCCATTTACAGAGGGCGTGGTGGGGGCTTAGGGTCGGGGGTGCTTCCTGATTGACCAGTGAAGACCCTGTGTATCTAGACGGTGCGGGCCTCTCAGTCATCCTGGCAGAACCAAGGAGGCAAAGGGGAGGGGACCCTGGTGTATTCTGACTGTGGATTTTGACTGGTGATGACATAGACAGGAGGATGAGGAAGATGAAGGGTTGGGTTAGGAGGAAGGAAGGGAGAAAAAGGAGTAGAAGACAAGTGAGAAGAAAGGCTAGCATGGGTTGCATTATCCACTGTCTTTACCCAGAGCAGAACCACAGGCAATTAAGCTCCCGAAGGCAAGTGGACTGATTTACTTCCATGACGTATGTATTTTGGAGGTAGACCAGGCTTTTAGAACTTTCATGTAATAGCTAGTGGGAAGCATCTGCATAGCACAGGGAGATCAGCTCGGTGCTTTGTGACCACCTAGAGGGGTGGGTTAGGGAGGGTAGGAGGGAACGAGAGGCAAGAGGGAAGAGATATGGGAACATATGTATATGTATATCTGATTCACTTTGTTATAAAGCAGAAACTAACACACCATTGTAAAGCAATTATACTCCAATAAAGATGATTAAAAAAAACTTTCATGTACATGCAAATTGCCTGGAGATCTTATTGTAATGCAGATTCTGATTCAGCAGATCTGGGCATCTGCATTTCTAATAAGCTCATGGGGAAATGCAAGATGTTTGCAGCTCTGAGGGGCCAAGGGTGCTCTGAATGAGCAGACTTCTTGCTAGGGGAGGAGGGTACCAGAGTTGCTAACTCGGACCTCACTCTCCATGATTCCAGTGCAGGGGCCTGCAAGCTGGGGCCAGGGCCTCACAGGAGCAAACATATAAATCCTTCACTGAGCACTCTGGCTGTGGACTGGACTGGGACTCCCCTCCCTTCCCACCCCCTGCCCCGGCAACTCTACCCCTTCCTCGCCCTCTCATCTCCCTCATCAGCAGTCAGGTCCACAGGGAGTCCATTCTCCTTGAATAAACCAGACCAAATTATCAGGCAGCCCAAATGATTGCTACTGATGAACAATATGAAACTAATTGATACTCCTTTATTAACAAATAGATTCTACAACCATGTATCTTTTTAAACATGTAAGGGGTAACAGAGTTTTCTGATGTGCTCCACAAATGGGGGTTCTGGCTGCTGGGCTGGGGAACTGGAGGACCACAGAAGAGGCTGGGGTCCCCGGGTCTCCTGGGGAGCACTGGGGGCTGCGGATGGATGTGTGTCTTGGGGGGAGGAGATGCCATCACTAGCAGAGGACCCCCTCGCAGTCACCAATGGGATCTTGCTCAGTCCTGCTTCTTCTATTCAACCCCTTGGCTGGAACCTCACTGAGCCGAGCCTCAGCGTAGATGACAGAAATGTCCTGTGGGAGAGTCAGGTCAGGGTGAGGAAGCAGACGTCACACAGAGAATGAGCAAAGAGCAGGGGTCCCATCTCACTGTTTCCCGCCGGGCTGACTGGGCAGGCCTGGCTGTGGGGAAGAGCAGCAGTAAGGTTAGGGCACTGGGTTCACGGGGTGGCCCCTTCCCGCCTCCTCGTGGCACCTTCCTCCAGAGAGCAAGGGCCGGCCAGGGTGGGGGGCTGCTCCCCCTTTTACTTCTCAGGGCTTCTCACCCTCAAGCTGAAAGCAGGTGGGCCTGGGAATCAGGAGACCCCAGCTGAGTGACCGGAGGCCAGTCACTTGGCCTCTGAGTCTCACCAGCTTCAACCAGGAAAGGGTGGTGGTGTTGACAGTGACTGCCTTGCAGGATTACGGTGTGAAGCAAGAGATAAGAAGGTGCCCAGGATACTTCTAGAATAACTCCTCCATTAGACACCCACTCTGCACCAGGCAACCATTTAGGTGTGAAAATTATATAGCTGATCTATCTAGTATACAGCTAACAGAAGTGTAATTCTGTATATCTAATCTCACATCAGTCTTGCCAAGTAGGGGGTATTGATGCCTTCTTACAGTGGGAAGAGAAAACTGAGGCTCAGCGAGGTGAATAACTCTCTACAGTCACTTCCATAAGAAGTGGAACCGTAGGCAAATATTGAATCTTTGTGAACGTGAAGCATTCTGCCACTGATAAAAGATCCAGTATCCCCTCTTTTATGCATCTTGGAACATAACGGCTCTCCTTACTCTGGGTTTCAGATCTCTGCACCCACCAAACAGGGAAAGCCTGCTCAGAGCTTGAGCTGCAAGCAGACTGTCCCAGACCCCACCCCTACCCCGAATCATGCCTTCACCCTTGCCTGCTAGGATTAAAAGGATCACATTTTCTTATTCTCCTTATTTTGCTAATGAAAACCATAGAGTCTGAGGTTGGCCTCTTTTTTCCTTTCTTATGTTTAAGTCCTCGTTGTGACTCTTCTCAGGAAGGAACTGGGCCCACGTGTGCTTTCCCATCTGCTTGGCAATGCTCTGGCCAGCAACCGGTCAGGTCCTGGGAGAAGTGCCCTGAGTCCAAGAGACTTCCTGGCTGTCCACTTTCTCTAGTGCCCTTTACGGGTGGGAGCAGAGTCCCTAGACTGATTCAGATCCATTTTACAGACCAGGAATTGAAATCTGAGCACAGGTGAGACATAAAACAAGCTCCCTATTTTTGAACACCTATTGCATACCAGACAATCTTTATGGATTCTAGAACCCAGGTTCTATTCCTAGCCATTTATAATAATCTTACAAAGTAGGCATTATCTACACTTTATAGATTAGGCTCAGAGAGCTTAAATAACTTGCCCACAGGCACACAGTGAGTACATAGAATCAAGTTTTGGACTCAATTCTGACTCCACATTCCACAGAACTCAATTCTGACTGACTCCCACACTCCTCTCATGATTCCACGTTGCCTGTTTGTCTGTTAGAGAGTGGACTAGCCTTCCCTGTGCCTGCCATCTTGACACTGGTATCTGTGGCCAGGGTTCATGGTCTTTATGGCTCCCTCTTAGAGTGAGACTGTCCTGTTTAGACTTACACTCAGGGTCAAAGACAAACTGTATCATTCTTTTTCTTTTTTCCCTTTGTTGCTCCACAATGCTCAGAAAAGGGCCAAAAAAAAAAATTCCTCCCTAGTTGGGATGGTAACAGTGGAGGTGTGGTGGAGATGATGTAGATGATGGTGATTATGGTGGACATAGCGCTGTTTGTGGTGATGGTGGTAGTGAAGGAGGAGATGATGGTGGTGGTGGTCAAGGTGGCCATGGTCAGCGTGATGTTGGTGGTCATGGTGATGTTGGTGGTCAGGGTGATGATGGTGGTCAGGGTGATGACAGTTGTCATGGTGATGATGGTGGTGTGATACCTCACCCTAGGCCCTAAACTTCCCCTTTACATTAGCAAAGATGTCAAGTTTGACCCGAGATCACTCACCTTTCACTCTCCTTTGGGATCGTACGTACCACAGAGTAGATAATCCCTTCATCATTCTCATTCTGGCAATGAACTGAAAGAAGGAACGCAGCTACAGCTTGAATAGGACCCACCTGCTCTCCCACCTCAAGACCCAGAAACATTTATGGAGGGAAGCTAATTAGGGGCTGTTATGGTGATAACTGGCAGTGGGAAGCAGCTATTAATGTGGGATATCCATCTTGGCAGGAGGTGCCTGACCCCTGCAGCAGATTCTAGCAGCTTCCCCAGCCCTGACATTGTTTAAACTAGGGGTTGGCAATGTTTTTCTGTAAAAAAGGTAGTGAATATTTTAGGTTTTGCAAATACCTGGCTCTGTAGTGTGATAGCAGCCACACATGACACATACACAATGCTCCTTACAAAAATACTTGGTGGACCAGATTTGACCCATGGTCAAATTTGCTAACCCTTGGTCTAAACCTCCCTCTTGGGGGCTGGGATCCCTTCCTGCTTCCCTCTCCCACCACCAGCACTGGCCCCTTAAGCTCGCCCCAGAAGCCATCTGTTTCCTTCCCCAGATGACTCTGATTCCTGAGACTCGGGCTCATGAGGCCTTCTTTCTTATGACTCCCCTTAAGAAGCCTTTCTCTGCCTTTATGGACAGACACTGGTGCTACTGCAAGTCCTTACCATTGACATACAGTGGGTGTTCCTCTCCACCTGTGGCTGGGGGCAGATTCCGGGGTGGAAGGGGTCCTAGGAGATGCAAAGGCACAATTCACTGAGCGCCCTCAGAGAGCAGACTGGACAGTGGGGACAGAGAGGCTGAGAGAAAGGATGTCAGTTACCTTTAAAAATTGTATAAAATTACCTTTAAAAATTGTATAAAAAATTAAACTAAAAAATAAAAAAAGAATGCCAGCAGAGGTTGCTGGAGGTCTGAGGCTGGTTTGTTAATGAGGGTTAATTCACAGGTCTGGACACAGTTAACTTTTTTTTTTTTTTTTTTTTTTACGGCGGGCCTCTCACTGTTGTGGCCTCTCCCATTGCGGAGCACAGGCTCTGGACGCGCAGGCACAGCGACCATGGCTCACGGGCCCAGCCGCTCCGCGGCATGTGGGATCTTCCCAGACCTGGGCACGAACCCGTGTCCCCTGTATCGGCAGGCAGACTCTCAACCACTGCGCCACCAGGGAAGCCCTGGACACGATTAACTTTTATGGGATGTTTCCTTTGAAAAATACCCCAGAGGGGAGGATGGCTCCATGGGAATCACAAACTGGGAGGAAGCAGGGTCAGAAAGGATGGGTCACATCCTTGCATCGAAAGGGCTCAGACCCACCAGTCAGGCTGCTTTTCAGAGGGAGGAAAAGCTAATAACTTTGACAACATACCATGTGCCAGAAACAGAGCCAGGGAATTCAAATACAGCGTCTACTTAATAACAAACCTCCTAACCCAGGGACAAGCACAGAGCTGGATGTCACAAAAGCCCCCCTACCTAAATCTTCGTTGTCTGATGTTCTTCACAGCCACCTTGCAAAGGTTAATACTGTGATTTCCGTTTTTTAGATGAGGTGACTGAGGTTGGGAGAGGTGACTTCTTCGAGGTCACACAGAAAGTGGTGGAGACAGAATCTTAATCCAGTGTGTACACTTTTCTCCACTAGCATGCTGCCTCTGTGAAAGTAGGCATTTCCAGAACTTTAAAATTAGCTCTTGGGATAGGAATTGGGTCACAGGTGGATGTTGGGTCACCTGGCTCATGCCTGATGTCCAAGAAATATTCATTAGCTCTAACAGCAAGAAAGCATCAGAGTTGTCAGGTAGCACCTTTGGACATGGCTCCTCCCGTAAAACCAAGAGGGCATTTGTGGAGACTCAGAGAGGCCTCTAATGCTCATTTGTCAAGGCTGTGTTTCTTAGTCTCCATTCGTGAAGAGATCTGTGAATTTGATGGAACTGTGTTTTATGGGAGGTGTGACAGTGGGAAATGAAATGAACACTTTTTTTTTTTTTTTTTTTTTTTTTTCTTGCGTTATGCGGGCCTCTCACTGTTGTGGCCTCTCCCATTTGCGAAGCACAGGCTCCGGACGCGCAGGCTCAGTGGCCATGGCTCACGGGCCCAGCCGCTCCGCGGCATGTGGGATCCTCCCGAAACGGGGCACGAACCCGCGTCTCCTGCATCGGCAGGCGGACTCTCAAGCACTGCGCCACCAGGGAAGCCCCGAAATGAACACTTTTAAGCAAACAACCAGAACTTGCACACTTAGGTAACTGCTACTTAGAAGTAGACCTCCTGTATGACCACATCCTTGTCCTAGTGATTCCATAATTGGTCAAAATGTTTTGAACATTGCCTTCAGAGATACAGTCTGTGGAATATCTTCAGTGGTGGCACATTTGTGTTTGTTGAGGAATGGATATGCTGTCTGGAAATGGTTAAGGGTCTTCTAAAGCTGGGCATGAAGAAAAAAGCTGTTGGACTGTGTTTCTTGTGTGGCTATGGAATTGGGCCTGAAGGTGGTTTTCTGAGTGACATTCTAAGGAAGGTTGTGTGCCCCTGAGCTTCTGAGAGGTTAGGCCCACCACCCGGAGCCTTATTTTCATGAGAGACAGGTTCCTTAACAAAATGGAGCCCAGGTGCTCCCAGACTGGCAGTAGGGGTGGGGTAGGGGAGTGGGAATGGGTGGGGAGGCAAAATCGCCACATGAAAAGAGACACTCCTTTGTTCCCTGTGAAAGGCATCTTCCTCTTGAAGATCTTTCACCAGTGACTGTTCCTCCACCATCTTGTTTGGGCCTGGGAGGGAGATGGCTGTATTGTGTTGCTTTGCCTTTAACTCTCTGACCCACAGGTGAGTGGGCAGAAACACCCATGCTATTGAGACCAGGCTGGCTTTATGACAGGTGCAGAGATGGTAGAATTCACAGATCTTCAGTTCATGGTCCCCTACTCCAGCTGCTTCCTCATCTAACTCTGGGCCTGGCTCCATCTTTCTCCGACTGCACAGGTATACCTTAAAGCAACTCTGGCCTGCCTTCATGAAATCTAGACTCAAGACTAAAGGAAAGGAGAGATGAGAAGTTAGATGGACAAAGGCTGCTAAATTAAAAAGGAGAGAGGAAGTCGGAGTCTGGCTCAAGCCCTAACTGGGGTGCCTGGTGAGGTAGTGGGTCTAGGGCTGGGGAGAAATGCTTTCAGGTATCCTGGCTGATGGTCAAGGAAGACTACTTGGATTGCAGGACTGGGTGGTCTTCCTCAAAGAACAGTCTGGCTTAGCTCTCAGAACTCATCACAAATTCCTTAACTGAGGGAGCTGCAAACTTGAAAAAGCAAATCTAGCTGGAGGTCTATGAGAACAATTACTTTTTTTTTTTTTTTTTTGCGGTACGTGGGCCTCTCACTGCTGTGGCCTCTCCCGTTGCGGAGCACAGGCTCTGGACGCACAGGCTCAGCGGCCATGGCTCACGGGCCCAGCCGCTCTGTGGCATGTGGGATCTTCCCAGACCAGGGCGCGAACCGGTGCCCCTGCATCGGTAGGCGGACTCTCAACCACTGCGCCACAACGGAAGCCCAAGAGAAAATTACTTTTGCCCTTGGCAAGTGGAAAATAAAAATGTTGCCCCCAGGGAGGAAGAAGTAAGTTGATTTGAACTTCTGTAGGTGGATTTGAAGCCCTAGGAATAAACTGGCACCAAATACCTTTGGCACTGGGAGCCACTCCCTTCAACATAGCCCCAGGCAAACAAGGGTTAGAGTTGGAATAAACTTGTAGCCACCAAAGGTGATTGCTTTGAAAGCCAACATTCATGCTTAATTATCATGACCATGACAGGAAGAAGAGGAGAGTCTGGAATTTCAAAAACAATAGGTGACCTAGAAATGCCATTTATCTGATTATTTTCACTTATTTCTCCCTATAGAATTCTCTCCCTATAGATTTTCTCTCATCTGAATTTTAGCTAAACTTTTTTTTTTTTTTTTTTTTTTTTTTT